TTCCTGCTGGCCAGCAACCTCACCATTTTTACTTACCAGAAATGTCACAATCAAAATAAGAATTCTACAGGAAAGCAGTTCAGGACTTACCTGATGTGCAGAAAGCTCCTTCAGGGGATTGTTTTTCCTACTGCTTTCAGGTTTCTTACAGTGACTGTTGCATTTTGCAGAGAATTTACCACCCTGACTACAATAATGAGTTGACCCAGTTTCTGCCTCGCACCATAGTACTGAAGAAGCCTCCAGGGGCTCAGGTGAGAACTCTCAGAGCATGGCACTAGACTTTTCTATGGCCGACTGCTGGACGGGGCTTGACATCAATATGTGCAGTCTGCTGCTTTAGGGTGTTTTTGTTCTACTGTAGCAGGATTGTGTCATTCCAGGGCTCCAAGAAACACAATGCTCCACAGTGTAACTGTCGCATAGCCTTATTCTGCTCCTGAAGGGAGGGGTGGGATGGGTCAAACACAAATATTGCCTTCATCTACCGCTTCTTAGGAAATCTGCTGGTAGTGAAGGATCAGTTCAGGCTAATCTCTCCACTCCCTTCTCCTGCAACAATTACAATCTCTTTCCACTGGGAGGTGAACAATGCTAGTTGGAGACCAGTCCAAGCAGATGTGTTAGAGGTAACCCCACTCCATTTTCTGAGAAGGATAACATCCTTCTGCACGTGCCAAAGATGACAGTTTGGAGGGGAATGGAGTTTCTGCTACGAGAATGACTCCCTCTTCTACTTTTATCACCTGTTAGAATGTTTCCTAGATAATAATAAACTGCTTGTAGAAATTGGAGGTCATGGCATGAGCGCTGCTGGCCTGTTCTTGGGTGCTTCTGACTGATGGGAGTGAAAGGAAATCATTGCTGCCCTAGTCAGAAGGATAGTGATAGAAATGTAGCCGTGTTAGTCTGGTGTAGCTGAAACAAAATACAGGACTATGTAGCATTTTAAAGACTAACAAGATGGTTTATTAGGTGATGAGCTTTCGTGGGCCAGAAGTGGGTCTGGCCCACGAAAGCTCATCATCTAATAAACCATCTTGTTAGTCTTTAAAGTGCTACAAAAAGGGTGATGGCTGACTCCCCCTCAACCAATGGATATTGTGTGGCTGAAGCATGGGACTGAGAAGCAACTGAAGCCTAAATTCTGAATTGGGCTTCTAACTTCTGCCTTCATTCTGCAGCTGCAAAATGGGACTGCTGCTTCACAGGGTGGTATGAAGGTTGTCAGAGATACTAGGAGTAACCCTAAATGCTTTTGGGTATCATCTGACCCCATGGTAACAACTGCCAGGCCTCCCCCTGCAGACACTGGAGCAGAAGTCCAAGTAGCTGGAAGTAGTTCACATTCCACTTAACTATTAACCCTATTTTCTTCTCACAGTTGGGCTTCAATATTCGAGGAGGAAAGGCCTCCCAGTTGGGGATCTTCATCTCCAAGGTGCGTTAGTTCCTGTGCTACTTTGTCTAGCTCTGTCTAGTGTTTTTTAGATAAGACAGCTATAATTCTGACACTGAACTCCTCACTCCTGTAGCTCTAATGCACCTGGGCTCTGACTCAAATTCCCCTCCTGCTGTTTGAGTGGAGCAGAGTTGGACACAACCAAGGGGGAAATAGAGACTGAGTTGTATTGTGGAGCTATAGGGGGGGTCTGACTTGACCTACCTGTAGGAGGGAATTGTATTGTGGAGCTATAGGGGTCTGACTTGACCTACCTGTAGGAGGGAACTGTGGGATAGTGGCACTACATAGTCTGAGATGTTGGTTTGACAGGCTTTGCCATCTCTTCTCTTCCATTCTCAGGTGATCCCTGACTCTGATGCACACAGAGCAGGGCTGCAGGAGGGAGACCAGGTCCTGGCAGTTAATGATGTAGATTTCCAGGACATTGAGCACAGCAAGGTGAGAGCTCCCCTTGCTACTACTGTGGGGAGAGGGCATATGCTGCATGTATCAATTTGAGATGCAGAGAGCAGGGAGATTAAAGGAGCAAGGGAGGAGATACATGCAGTGAGGAGAGCTGCTGCTGCCCCTTCACATTACCCCACCCTGAACTCACCTGTGGTGTGGCATTTACAGCTTTGTCCACTAGGCGTGCTCCAAAACCTCTGTTCCCACTTCTGTTCCTCCTGCCTGTGTGTGCCTGTGGACAGTTGCCATCTCCCCAGCCGTAAAATAGGAGAATGATCCTTGTTTACTTGAAGATGCCTCAGGAGGAGCTCACTCTTGATTTAAAGAAGTGAGCAACCCTAAATGGGGAAGAGTACAGAATTGGTAATCACAAGCCTGATATAGGATGGGTAGGGGAGAAGCCTAGTATACCTTCCTTGGCGTATTATGTATTAGGCTTGACTCACAGGAGTTGATTACATGCTAAAGCATTGCACTTAACTTTTACTGATGCTGCTGCTGTCTCTGTGCTGGGATTGGAATCTCCAGGTAGGTTTGAGGAGTGGCAATGGACAGACTTAGAATTAGGGATGTAAAAGGTTAACCAGTAAATGTATCTGTTTTGGTCAACCAGTAAGAGCTGGAGCAGCTTCAGGCAGGGGGCTTCTCCAGTCCCATGGAGCCTGCTGGAGCAGCCCCTGTCCATAGTGCCCTGGCCTGGCCCTCCCAGTGCAGGTCACACCCAGGAGCAGGGCTGGCAGAGGCTGGCCCACTGCAGGTTACACAGTGGATCCCCAGGAGCAGGGCTGGCAGAGGCTGGGGAGCCAGGAGCAGGGCTGGCAGCAGCCCTGCTCCTGGGGAGGTGGCTTCACTGCAGGTTCTGTAGTATAAAGTTTGAGCTTTATGCTGCAGGGCCCTTGGCATGTATAATCACTGGAGGCTTTTTTTTAGCGGGTACATTTGTAAACAAGTTTTACATCCCTATTTGGAATTAATCTCTGCCAGCCCAATTTCCTAATTTAGTGACTTTGTTGCTGGCTTCCAGGCTGTGGAGATCCTGAAGACTGCCCGTGAGATCATCATGCGAGTACGTTACTTCCCCTACAGTAAGTGCCTGTTTAAAGCCTTCTCCCATAACTAAGCTGCTTCTGGAATCCTGATCTGCTAGGGTGCAAAGCATTAGGCTTCAGAGGCTGTGCTGATTCTAGCTAAACAAATACTAAAAATTTAGAGTCAAAGATGGAGTCAGTAACAACTCATAGAATACTAGAACTGGAAGGGACCTAGAGAGATCATCAAGTCCAGTCCCCTGCCCTCATGGCAGGACCAAGCATGGTCTAATCATCCCTGACAGATGTCTGTCTAACATGCTCTTAAATATCTCTGGTGATGGAGATTCCACAACCTCTGTAGGCAATTTATTCCAGTGTTTAACCACCCTGACAATTACAAAGTTTTTCCTAATGTCCAACCTAAAACAGAAACAAATGCTGATTTGATGTCTCAAGATTTTACACTAAAATCAAATACAACAGTGAGTGATATCAAATACTATCCCAACCTTAAGCAAATACTTACCAGCAGCCACACATCACACCCCAGATAAACTTATTCAGAAACCTATCCCTGCAGCAAACCTGTTGCTTACTCAATTGGCATATCTACATAGGCAACACCATCAGATGACCTAACCACATGAGCCACAACATCAGGGCCTCATATAACTGCACATCCTCTACCCAACGGGTAGTAATCAATGGCTCGATGTCAAATTGGCGGTCGGTTTCTAGCGGAGTGCCCCAAGGATCTGTTCTTGGACTGGTTTTGTTCAACATCTTTATAATGACCTGGATGAGGGGAAGGATTACACCCTCAGCAAGATCACAGATGACACTAAGCTAGGGGGAGAGGTAGATACGCTGGAGGGCAGGGATAGGGTCCAGAGTGACCTGGATAGATTAGAGGACTGGGACAAAAGAAATCTGATGAGGTTCAACAAGGACACGTGCAGAGTCCTGCACTTGGGATGGAAGAATCCCAAGCATTGTTACAGGCTGGGGACAGAATGGCTGAGTAGCAGTTCTGCAGAAAAGGACCTGGGGATTTTAGTGGATGAGAAGCAGGATATGAGTTAACAGTGTGCCCTTGTAGCCAAGAAGGCTAATAGCTTATTGGGGTGCATTAGGAGGAGCATTGCCAGCAGATCCAGCGAAGTGATTATTCCCCTTTATTCGGCTCTGGTAAGGCCACATCTAGAATATTGTGTCCAGTTCTGGGCTCCCCACTATGGAAAGGATGTGGATGCATTGGAGATGGTCCAGCAGAGGGCAACCAAAATTATTAGGGGGCTGGAGTGCATGACCTATAGGAGAGACTGAGGGATCTGGGTTTGTTTAGTCTGCAGAAGAGAAGAGTGAGGGGGGATTTGATAGCAGCCTTCAACTTTCTGAGGGGAGGTTCCAAAGAGGATGGAGAAAGGCTGTTCACAGTAGTGACGGATGGCAGAACAAGGAGCAATGGTCTCAAGTTACAGTGGGAGAGATCTAGATTGGATATTAGGAAAAACTATTTCACTAGGAGGGTGGTGAAGTACTGGAATGGGTTACCTAGTGAGGTGGTGGAATCTCCATCCCTAGAGGTTTTTAAGTCTCAGCTTGACAAAGCTCTGGCTGGGTTGATTTAGTTGGGATTGGTCCTGCCTTGGGCAGGGGGCAGGACTTGATGACCTCCTGAGGTCTCTTCCAGCTCTGTGATTCTAGCGGTTGGCAACCTATGACTCGTGAGCCAAATATGGCTCAGTAGGGAGCCACATTACAGATGGTAGGTATTGACTGACTAATCAAATAGTTGATGTATTTTGATAGGATGACTCTGCCTTTGAAGTGTAGCAACAGCCCTAGGAGTCCCCAGCTGATCCCGGGCTCCATGCAGTGCTGCCGCTTTGAAACGCTGCGAGGAGCCTGGCACTGGGCTACCTGCGGCATTTCAAAGCAGCAGCACCACCTGCGCTGATCCTGGATGTTGTGGGAAGCCCGGTGTCAGGCTCCTCGCCGTGTTTCAAAGCAGCAGGGTAGCATGGAGCCCAGGGTCTAGCGCCAGGTTTCAAGTAGCGCTGCAGCTTTGAAATACCCCTTCCTCACCTCTCCCCCCCCCAGCCTCTTTCTGATAGGCAGCAATGGTGGGAAGTGACTATTCGACCAGTCCTTTACATCCTTAAGCCACATGTGGCTGTTCTGCAGTTCAAGTTCAGCCCTGCCCGTTGCTCCCCTGGCAGCACAGAGCCCACACTAGCACTCCAGCCTTGTGGCCCCCTGCAAAATTGGAGCACAGTGCTGGCTTCCTGCAGAGGAAGGGGTGGGGACAAAGCCCAGAGGCTCCAATCAGATCCAGCTGGAAGGGAAGAAATGGCTCTGCACACTGTTGCTTCCCCTCACCCTCCCCCAGCTGAGGGAATAGTGCAGGGATGTGCTTCCTGCAGGCTTTTCCCACTGCTACTATTGGCTAGTATCTGGCACATGGCAGCAGCAGGACACTGTGCCTGGAAGTGGTGCAAAAGCAAGTGGTCCCCTTTCCCCCCAGGCAGAGACCCCGCACTCCCAGCCCCCTCACTCACCCTCTCTGCTGAAGCCCTGCACCCCTGGTCTCCCTCCCTCTCCCCCTGCCAAGACCCAGCTCCTGGAGCCTCCCTTCCTCCTGATCCTCCCCCCCCCCCACCAGACACCCTAATCCCAGCCTGCTCTTGCACCCTATCTCCCACCCACATGTCTATCCCACTCATGGGCAGCTCTGTCTCTCAAAATGTAATGTAGATTGTGATGTAATGTCAAGTGTGTCCAGTATTTTGTTGAAACCATCTGGCAACCCTAATAATCTGGCCTGAGGTCTTGAACCTCAGTCCTCTCTGGCTCCTCCCCCACCATTAGGTTGTAGCACCAGGGGAGTGAGTTGTCTCAATTGGGGGCCACAGCAGTGAGTTGAGGTTTTTGGAGGGGCTGTCTTTTTGCTTCTCACTTGTGTGGTCCCTGACTGATTTTACTGTGGGTCAGTGGCCCGTGACCCCAAAAAAGGTTTCTCAATCCTGCCATAAATACATGAAACCTTTTCTGTTGAACATAATATTTTACTTTATTTAAAAATGAAACCTGGCCAACAAGTTCCCAATTGGGGCCCACCCCCATCTGGCTGCAGTGTCATAACACTCCTGCACCCCTCACATCCCCAGCCCCTGCCATAAGATTGACAGAAGACAATCTGAATGCATGCATGAAGCTGGATTTGACCAGTTATGATGTAAACTTTAAAAAAAAGGTGCAAAAAGATACAGCAGCAGAAATTCCATTAAATAAAGTCTGAGTATAATAGCATAAATGAAAGTCAATTAATAATTTTCAGTCATGCAAATGGGCATTCATGTACAGCTTTTTGCTGACCACTTATTCTCAATTTTGATGTACAGGCAGTCCCTGACTTACGCGGATCCGACTTATGTCAGATCCTCACTTACGAACGGGGCTTTTCTCGCCCCGGAGCTCACGGGCAGTGGGTCGCCACCCGTGTCCTCCGGGGCGAAAAAAGCTTCTCCCGGTCTCCGTGGTCTGCTGGGGGGGCGGCTTTGCTCGGGTGTCCCTGGTCTGCTGGGGGGGTCCAGCGGCTTTGCTGGACCCCCCCAGCAGACCACGGAGAC